TATATATATATAGTTATATACATGTGTATGTGTCTGTGTGTGTGTATGCATGCGACACACATAATTTTCACAGTAATATGAAAACAATTTAATCACTATATAAACAAAGTGGATCAATTCGAGACGAGTGGAAAGAAAACGAATCCACTTAAAGGAAGCTGCATTGAATTGTATCAAAAAATATAATATTCACGGATTTGGGTTTTATGTTATCCGGTAAAATCGAAGAGAGAGAGAGAGAAGAGAGAGAGAAATCTCGTAAAACATACGTATATAATACTACTTCTATAAAAAAAATTTTCACAAATAAAACGTAATTTCCAGGATTGAAAAATAAGATTTTTTTTAGTAACTGTAACAGTAACGGCGTTACAAATTTTATTTGTAACAGAAAAAGTAACTTTGTTACATTTGTCGGTAATGAAAGTATATAATGAATTTAATAGATACTTTTTTTTTTTATTATTACCTTTTTGAACCAATTGGATATATTTTCATGCAGATATTGATCAAGAGTGTTAAAATGCAGCATTACATAAAAACTGTTGAACATTTACAGCATTTAAAAATATTAAGTCTTCTTGCATTTTTTTGTAAGTTTTTTTTATTTAAACTTAATTATTATCAAAATTAATATACTTTATATCAATCAAATAAACAATATCACTATTAAAATTATATCACTTTTATTATATTTTAATATAAAATAATGTTTTTAGATATTTTTTAACTTGACCTTGTATTAATATTTAAAAAAGTAATGGAAACTGTAACGACTCATTGCTATTTGAGTAATGATAACGATAACGAATTACTTTTCAGAAAAAGAAATGTCTTTCTCAACCCTGGTAATTTCGTTCATATTTCATTAGCTTCCTCCTAAAGAACACGTCCAATTTCTCAGTGGTATTATTCCGATTACATAATAATAAAAAATTATCACGATAAGGATACTAGTCTTACACTGATAATATCGTACTGAAAAAATTACGTTTGTTATAATGTAACTCTATATGTAGACACAAATTGAAGGAAAGATACGCTTTGCATTGTACATTAATTTTCTATTTTTTTTTTTTTGTTTGCTTCAATTTTTCACTCTGTTTCTCCTCGTGTGTTTTTTGCACATTGCAAAAATGATACCTCACAGACGCACGCACGCACGACCGCTTTATACAGTCTGATTTCATGTTTCTTGCCTCGTAAATAAAAAATTCGCGTACTCTATAATAAAATATTAAATACACATGCACGCATACACAACACAGTCGTACAATACCAAATGCACGTAATCTGCTAATTTTATAAAAACGGCGATTTATTATGATCGTTAGCAATTATAGCAATTTTATTCTTCAACAATTCGTCCATTAAAACAATACGAACATATAGTAAGTCAAAAATGCATATGCGTATAAGCCTCACTATGCGCGTCATTTGACTTTCTCCATACGAGAGATATACTATATATAGTGCTTATTATAACTTAATCTCATGTGTTTCATTGAGACGGTGGTTTTCTCCAACACTCATAAATCGACGATATCAAAATACAATAACTAAACGATCACAACACACGAGGGAAAACGCGTTAACTGATTTCTTTTCTCCAAGTTACACTTTACAAGATATTTTAATAGTTACGCAGCCTCATTTCCATAGATACGCACGATCACGGTATCGATATATCAATATATCATCGCCGTTTGAGCCGATGAGGGGAATGAAAGACACGAAGATACATCGATCCTGATCCACACAATCTATTCGTACCATTTACAAATAAACAAAAAGGGAAAAAAAAAATCTCGAGCGAAGATGATCATTTTACATTACAATGAGCTGTAATCCCATTCCTAAGCGCGTAATGCATGACAATCGCTCCTCTCTCCGTGCAAGGTATGTAATCACCTAAGGAAAAAACGGAAAGGTTCGTGTGTGTGTCTGTGTACTGTTTACAATGTCCGAGGAGACGAGGACTCTTTTGCTCACAACCATACTTAACCAGCAGTCAGTCGTGTTATATTAATAAAAATTGTGTGACTTTGCCCGCGCGCGCTTTGAAAAATCGGCTAAAAAACTACGGGCTAAACGTCTCGCGCAACAGGATATTTGTTATTATAATTAACGCCAACAACGTGGATTTCCCGGTGTGGCAGGACAGTGATATAAATATCGGAGATGCTCTCTCCCTCTGTCACGTGGACCTTTCGCGCGCGCCTTCTCCTCGCAATCGGATATTACAATTATATGTGCCGCTCGCTATTGGATCGCGTGAATTAACTTTTTACTCGCGAGGACGATTCACAGAATGCGTACACGAATAAATAATCGCGTACGAGATTCAGCGTCTTATGTACAGTAGAGTATGCGGTAGTTACAACTTACGCGAAACTACGAATCAGCCTCGTCGAAGAAGAAAGAAAAGCGTTCTGAAGTAACGTCTCTTCTCGTTCTCTTTCCACGCACGCGAATCATATACACATGCGGATATCATCAATCATTCATCAGATCACTCACTCTCTTTTTCCGCCGATATCGACGTCTCGACCGTTTCGACGATCATTTGTCAATCGCTAGTTCACAAAATTAAGGAACGATACCCTCGGTGCATTCATCGATAATGGGGAAGATACAGATAATGAGAGGGAGAGAAGGAGAAAGAGAGAGGAAATTCACAGAGTATAATCTAGAGATTTTGATCTCTATCTTTTTAAGCGTATCACATTTTTCAAAGACTGTCACACAGAAGCGGTTCTCTCCCTCTCTTCCGTCTTTCATTCGCTTTATATCGTACACGAGAGCACGGCCGTGTATTACAATACGGCTCGAGTACGCAATAGCTCCGTAAGTACATGAGTTTCTGTCGTCGGACGCGCTTGTCGGCGAGTATGTAACATGGATACAAAGTGGTGTGTATGCGAAACGCGTGTTACACAATACAAACGGCGCGTACATTTCTTCAGGAGTGTCGGTACGAAGTCATCGGACTAGCGTAAGTATGGACTTTTGGGCGTAACACAATTCCCTTTGTACTCGCCATTTATCATGTGCCTGCAAAAAGAAATAGATACTTGTGTCAATTATAGAAATAAAAAGTATTGCCCGACGAAAGTATTCCTCTCTGAGAAATTTGGAAGAAATAGATTCGGAAGAAATTTAATATTGAAATATAATAGTTTGCGTATATTCCAGATGCATCCAAACATCACGTTTTGAAAAATATTACAAAGTATGAAATTTTTTTTCCATTCAGAAATGAATTAAACCAAAAGAATTTGGTTTAATTTAAATTAAAATTAAAATTACAAATAGTTCAAACATCTTTACTTACTCGTTTAATCGATACGGTTGATGGGATCCTTTTGCTCTTCCATGATATTCCAATTTATATTTTTGTCTCATTTATCTCCTGGTCGCTTAAATGTTTCAATGTTGCAAACCATCAACAGAAAATCGCATGTCTCATTCCATATGAATCTCTGCAAATGCCTCGCAACGTAACGCTCTTCTTGTTACATTATAAAGAGAGAATAACGATTAAATATGTTCACAGCAGAGAGCTCTTGTTACAGTGAATCTTTACGTTATTGCATATTATTCGATAATTTTGCGTCTTTATTTAGATCAATTTGTTTTGAACGGAAATCACGTACAACATTCAGATTTTACTATTAATTCCGACGACGTAAGTCTTGAAGAAATCGAAACAGAATCTGGCGCAAACATACGGTTGCTTCTCTTTCTTCTCTCACTTCTCGTTATGTTCTTTTTGATAATCGTCTCGAAAACATACACGGAAACAAGAACTATCCTCAAATGTCGCATTCTCTTCTGAGTAGATAATCTATATAGAAAAAAAAATGTTTTTTTTATTTCTCTTTTTTCGTTTTCCTTCTTTCTTCAATCGGTACACACTGATGGAAAACGAATCGACTGTCACGAGTGTCACGTAATTTCAACTTGTTCCTCTCGCATACATTTACGATTTAATAAACTTTCATTATATACGCTATAAAGTCTACCGACAGAAAAATCTTATTTCATCGATATGTTATGTAAAATGTAATTGTTTCAATCGTTCGTCGCGCAAGGTAAATTATTCTCTCTTATGATAATTTCGTTTTTGAAAGGCATGAAACCGAAATTTTTGATATTGTTTGGAAAATGTGCGGATTTTCTGTCTCGTATTTAAAATTATGAGTATGCAGACGGATGGGAAAAATTACTTAAAAAACTCGCAAACGATATTGTGATATAAAAAGATATTCGAGGAAAGATATTTTGCGTTTCGTTTGAGAAATAAACGTTAGTCGTATAGCGTGAAATGTTCTTTAATGTATATCAATCACAATCCGTGCAGCGGATATTAGAACTTATGATGATGTATGGTAGAATTATCGTACATCCATGATCCTTGCGTAGAAAAAACAGGCAGTGTAGATGTCAAAGTAACCATTTCGATAATTAACACGCATTCGGATAATTCTGTACATATCCGATATTACCTTAATAATGTTTATTAATAACACTCTAATACTGCTCTATTCTTTCGTACTTTCTACAATATACAACTCAAAATTAAAATTACAAAATCTGTCTACTAGATACAAAATCATATATTATAAATATTCCAATATATATTAAAATTATTTCTTGATAGATAGAATTTAAAAAAAGAATCCGAAATCAAAAGATACGTAATATAAAATAAGGCATGCGAATTTTCACTTCATATAGCGGGTATACTACACGTTCTCTTCATTCACAGAGACGCGAAAGCGAGAACACTTATTCACAAATATTCGACATCTTAATCCCATCCCTGATTCCCTGAAACGCGATCGTCGTTTTTCAGTTTCATGCCTTTCAGAGAATTGTAGTCAGACTTCGCGACAATCGAAATCTCTCGATTACAACAAATCCGGGATAATACACTATGCTCGTTTATCCTGCGGGGCTGTGAATATACAATGAGATCTGTGGTAATTTCAATTCGTTATAATTCACAGTATATATGCGATCGCCAACGTGGCCGTCTGTCGCACAACGCGACATTATTAAAAAGCGTTCCCGTGATACAAGAAATCGTAGGCACAAACAAGTTCTCTCAACATCGGTACGTCAATTCCTTTTTACTTCTATATAATCCTCTGCTCATTGGTTCATCGGTACCGACGACCGGCCGACGACGACCATTCTCAGTCAACAGCGACATGTCAATATGTTGATGATATCGATAGTAATGTAATTGATAAACGCGAGTGCGGACAATAGGAATAATAATGACGATGAAAATGGAAACGATGATGATCGTGACTAACAATGATGATGAAGACGAGGAGTACGATCAACGTAATAATTAAAGATTAATAATAATAATAATAATAATAATAATAATAATGAAATAAAATAATATATAATAATAAAGAATAATCATTATAATAATAGTAATCATAGTGCTAATAGTAGTAATAGTAGCAATAGTAAGTAGTAATAGTAGTGGGCAGCAACAAGATGAAATGTAATCATGACAATAGTAGCAATAATAATAGCACGAGGTCACTTTTCTTGGCTAAACGAGAGGATTTATTCAGTAAGTAGGTAAGTGGATTCGCCAACGTCTCTTGACTTCTATCAGTAGCTCAAGGCCACTAAGAATATTCATCGACTCATTTGTGACGATAAGAGAGAAAAAATGAATCAAACGAAACGCACATGCAAGATGCATGCAACATGCATCGAAAAATATGGATACCGATAGCCAGAGATGTTTTTCTGTCACTGATTTTACTTTAATGAAAATTTAAAATAGGCATCTAAGCATCCAACAATCATGTTTATTAGCTTGAGGAACGAGAGGTCAGTTACATCTCGCCGGATAAATACGTAAAAATTCGTTTCAATCAATTTTATGTTTCATGAATTTTCACATTGCAGTGCATTACGAAAAAAAAGATACAAAGAAAAATGCATTCTGTCGTATTAATTATTGGTCTTATTAATTAGAAACCAATAATTAAATTTTCTCTAAAAAGAATTTCATATTTGCGCGGGTCGCAGAATACATTTACTTTGTCCAACTGTTCAGATGTATTATGTATTCTTATATATGTATTTGTACAACGTATAAAACAAATAAAAGAGAAGGTTTTGAAAGCGGATCCGACTGTTTCCGCGAAGGTTCAACCGAAGAGACACGTTATCAAGTTCTTCACTGATCGGCCGCGCTTTCTTTGCAACTGTTGCAGCAGACGTAGCTAAAAACAATTCTAATCGCAGCGATAACGCGAAAATACTATACAATTTCGATTTCATTACGCTGAGAAGTGGAGTTAGTTGTAGGTCGAGTTGTCGTTAGCGAGTCCGCCTATTTATCGAAAAGATCACAGCTCGATTGGCCACAGAAAAAGCAGCTTCATTCTCTCGACCGAGTCGCGCAATCGTCCAATTAATATGATAATAGCGGCGACGGTAATAGAATGTAGTTGTACGATGATGGCGATGATGATGATGATGATGATGATGATGATGGTGATGATGGTGGCGGTTCAGTTCGACAGTGGCGGCGGCGTCGGTGTCGGCGTCATTGTGACGGTCGTGTGCAGCACCGAGTCCCGTGACGCGGATCGGCTGCCGATGCGTAGCAGAGTAACGGCCTCTCTCTCGGGATCGGCGCTGCTGGCAGTATCGGCCGCTGTACCTACTGCGTTCATCATCCCCGCGGCCGTTCCCGCCGCGACACGTTTCCCCGTCCTCGACGTCGCGACGACGGCATGCACCTCGTCGACGACCCCTCCGGCGGACCCATCGGCACTATTACCCGCGCACTGCACCGCCCCCCCGAGACCAACGGTAACGGACAGTCATTTCTGCCTTCCACTTTTCTTCTTCTTGCGCTTGAAGAAGCAACAGCATCTGGAAATGAAGCAAACACTAATAGGACTTAGAGTCGTCCCTTTTGGCAGCGTCTCTCGTTAAGTCAACACACCGAGCATGCATGGATCCATGTAACAATAGTTGAGAAAGAATGAAATTTGTCGATCTTCCAATGATACTCTTTATCCGATTGAATGTAGACATTCATACATTATATAGTGTCATGACACACATGTCACTTTATCATGCAGTTTGTTAGTTGACGCAATTAATTTGATTGTTTCAGAACTCATTCTAATATGAAATGATAAGGGGAGGAAGAAAATGGAGCAGGGAAAAATAGAACGTATAGAATAATGCATACATTTATAATTACACTGTGGCCAAATATATCAAAAAATATAGTTTTGATACTGTTAGTACAATACAACAACACGAAAAGGTGTTGCAATTTGTTTCGATCAAATTATGTCCAAGTTGTATATAAATAAATCAATATAATTAATGGCATTTTCTCCTCGCAATATATAATAAATTATATAACCGACACTATAATAGTTAACAGAGAGAAATTATTCACATTAAATTATGTAACAAAAATATAATATTTTTAATGACATACAAAAAGTGTTTATTTTGTTACGCGATAATAATACGTAATTATCTCTACATTACTGAATCTCAAATCTTGCCTATATCTTAAATCTCGCGAAAACTGTAAACGTAATTTATTAGAAATGTAAAACGAAACGCAAATACTACAAAATACTATATATACACACACTATAAATATACTACAGAATAATAACCGCAATATTTTTATGCGATATTCTAAATAGCATTACATCAAAGGCATATTTGATTATATTTTGAAATTTTATATTTTGATATCGTTCACGGCACTAATCTTGCGTTACTAATCTAATATAATAAGATTTCTACAATAAATACAAGTATCCATTATGTGTGAAATATTTAACGAATATGATATTTTCTTCTTATATTGCGAGACAAAAAATCTTGGATTGACCAGTTGAATTGATGTAACAAACCTAGTTCGGGAATGAGGGTGGGAGAGGTGCTGGAAATGTGCGCTTGGAAAGATCGGAACAACAACTTTCCACATCGGGGACAATGTTTCCATTTTAGTCGAGTTACTTGTCTGAAAATAATATCACATGCGCAATTTGAATATCGGCTTCTTTATAATATATATATGCAATTTATATATGTATAATCGCGTCTTTTAATTCTTATTTCAACACGTTGAAAAATTTCTACTCGGTGCATAGGTAAGTAAAATTATTCTAAGAAAATTTAAGAGAATTGCACATACACACACACACACACATACATATAAAATAATACATGCATATAAATTGAATCTATCAAACATATTGCATATTCTTATCCATTTGGCAAATTTGGATTTGGAGCAACAGAGAGAAAAAGACGAATTGTGATGAAACAAACTGCTACTAACTTGGTTTCGTCGATCATGTCCACTTCTTGAGGTGCTGTGATTGGTGTATTGGAGTGACCAGCGGTCGGATCATCATTGGCTAGCTCTCCATTAGTCGACGACACCACCTGCGTACAACGTTGTACAGCGTTATTGCAAATCAATATGAAAATAAATATACGGGTTTTCAACATTAAAGGATTCAACAGATTTATCTAGACGGATATATTTCTCATATTTCCGGTATTATTTTGGACGTGAAAATTAGGGAAATACTTTTTTTGCACTACTTGTTGAATTTTCAGAAAGAGAAAAAACTACGCAGGAATACATTAAAAAAAAAAAAAATCAGTTTATCCAAAAGTCTACTTTTGCACACAAGTTACACAAAGACTCAAATAAGATCTTATAAGGGGATGTGTGAGAATTTAACGTAAAAAAAGAAATATTATCGCTGATATACATAGGACCCATAAAGCAGTAATCTAAATAAAAACAGAGGCGTAAGTGACAAACTTTTATCTTTCTCAAAAGTCATACGTGACGATGACGCTTCTGTTATTATAAGTGCAGGGAAGAGACGAGTGATCGTACTATAATACCGGATTAGTATTTCATGTCCAATCAAAGAAAGAAAGTAAAAGTGTCTCGATCGCAATCGACACAAAAGACAACATGCTGCCACAAAGTCAAATTGCACAGACTTCTAACTGACCATAATCCAGTGGTGCTTTGTCTAGAAATAGAGCGAACAGTTTACACTTTTTGTATAGACTGAGACAACACGTCGTTTATGAGAGTGAGAGACAAGAAAGATGACAGAATTAGGAGAAGGCAATGTAAATAATAATTCACCATTAAATTTAGTTTATCGATTCATGTATCTTTCTGATTTCTAAAGATATTATATTTTTTTGAAATCTACGAGATTTGTATAAAAAAGATTACGAAATTTAATATACCATTTTGAACATCGCATCGATAAGAATTATATTTCTTCTTTCGTAAAACATAAGTTACTCGATTGTAAATGAAAAAACGAGAAAAGCTGCAAAGAAAGTTCAAGAGGAAGGGGAAGCTTTTGGGAAATTAAGAAACGGAATGACACGAGAGAGAAGGATGGAAGATGCGCAGGTAAACTCACCTGTACAGAACCGTGCCTGTCAGCAGGTGTCAATGTACCACCGGCTCCTGATTGCTTCACAGTATCTGGCCACGTGGCTCCCACCCCCTTACCGCCCCCACCTCCCACCCCTCCACCTGCCACGTCCTGAAGGAACAAGCATGACAATTTCGTTGCGTCGCGTTATATGAACAATTCCGAAGGATTCGTAGGACAGTAGAAGAGAAAGAAAGTATCGAGAAGAACGTTTAAGAGAAATTTTCTCCGAGTGTGATTTATGACGATAAACGCGAACGCCCAATAGAATGTTATAAGAAACAAACCTAATCCGATATTAATTTCTATATGAAAGATGAATATATGGTTCGCAGCTCGAGAATAGAAAAACAAATTCTATGAATTCTATATTTTAAATGTATTATTTTATGCACTTTACTTGGATAAACTATGACAAGATGGAAAAGTCTTTCTGGCTTCAACTAGTTACAAGCAAAGGCAACAATACTAAAGCACAGCTGTGTCAAAATTACTTCTTCGTGCATGAGTTTTTATCGCAGATTCCAAATCGAACACCATATGGTCCATCATCTAATAATTCTAATAACGTCTAAAAAATTTATTACCGCTATCGATTCCCGTTCATCGACTATTTATTTATCAATTATTTATTTATTGCACGCGAGTTTGCAGAATGGTTAAGCCTCGTGCGACCTTGTTTTACGGACAGAAAAACATCAATAACACAATTATAAAACGCGGATATCTTTCCGGCTATATATTGTAGCATCGTCTCCCCTCTCTACTGATAAGATAAAGCATGCATGAAGAAGTCAATTCTTGGAGCGCAACCTAAAGATTGGCTTACATATTGGCCTTGCAATTCGAAGCGAACCTCATCCATCATGAGGATTACATCCTCCTCAAAATCATCGTACTCCTATAAATTGATGCCCGTTTTGGATTCGTGTAGAGAGAAACGATAATGTATATAATTGCTTTTTCATAATACTGCTCTCTCTCTTCGCGAGATCTAACCATTTAATATCGTTAAAAACGCTCCCCTGAATCTTTTCAAATTATTCGTTCTATCTGAATGATTTTTCTTCTCGAAATAAACAAGTCTGAATCAAGGTCGTTGTTAAAATTCTGTCTTTGATCTTTTCGCTAATGAGGCGTGTATCCATGCGGTTAACTCGAATAACAAATAGACAGGCTACACGTCCATGCTTTGGTTTTTATTTTTTTTTTTTTTAGAGAGAGAAAAAAGAAACGCGAAGGAAACGTAAGCAATACCTTATAAGCGGCGGGATGCCGATCACGATTTGGCGATACAACGATCTCCTGGCCAGTTTGAAGGGATCCGACGGGCGTGGACTGTAATAAAAGAGAAAACATTTACTTTATATATATGTATATACCGGACGAAAGTCTGTAGCGAGAGACGTTATTATACACATTCTACGTATTTCACATTGTATATAGATAACATACTTGAAGCTCTGAAAAGCGGACAGACAGACTTATTGATGAGGACTGTGCACTTTAATTTATGCTTAACAGAAGACCTGTGACATCATAATGCGTTAGATCCATATTTAAATAAAATCAATCGGCTGAAAGCTCTCTCTTTCTCTCTCCCTCTCTCTTTCTCTGTAGTAACGATCAGTTACGATATTATAATAATGACACAACGTACTCTTTGCCATATATATAAAAAATAAAATATATATAAAATATATATAAAATATATATAAAAAATATGTGTATAAAAATATATAAATTATTTTAAATAAGCGACTATATTGCAATAGGCGGAAATATCAAAGCTTAATTATATGGGGTCGCGATTATTTGGCGAGAGACATTATTCGAGTCACCACCAACCTTGTCGGATTTGGTTCTGCCAATGTGCGAGGGGGACGAAAGTCTGTAGCGAGAGACGTTATTATACACATTCTACGTATTTCACATTGTATATAGATAACATACTTGAAGCTCTGAAAAGCGGACAGACAGACTTATTGATGAGGACTGTGCACTTTAATTTATGCTTAACAGAAGACCTGTGACATCATAATGCGTTAGATCCATATTTAAATTAAATCAATCGGCTGAAAGCTCTCTCTTTCTCTCTCCCTCTCTCTTTCTCTGTAGTAACGATCAGTTACGATATTATAATAATGAAACAACGTACTCTTTGCCATATATATAAAAAATAAAATATATATAAAATATATATAAAATATATATAAAAAATATGTGTATAAAAATATATAAATTATTTTAAATAAGCGACTATATTGCAATAGGCGGAAATATCAAAGCTTAATTATATGGGGTCGCGATTATTTGGCGAGAGACATTATTCGAGTCACCACCAACCTTGTCGGATTTAGTTCTGCCAATGTGCGAGGGGGCCGCCATCCGCAGCGCTCTCATTTGTTCAAAGTTGCTTGGCTAGAGATAGTGCATTGAGGGGGAGGGCAGCATGCAAACGTTAAGAATCAGATGTGAAACTGCTCGTCGGTAGCGTGTTGCTCTTTGTTGCGGGTCTGTCAGAACATTGGCGGGACGAGTCACTTACCCAATTGTGTCGGAGTTTTTCTCCGACAAATGATCAAAAAATTTCATTTATGAAAATAATTGTTAATAAAACTATAATCAACAAGAAAACGAACCAATGAAAAATTGGTATAACTTCGATTTAAAAAGTAGAAAGAAACATCGATTGTCGAAAAAAAAAAAAACGGATTGTTAAAAATACACATTGCTCGAAAATACTAATGACATCGTAGAAGATAACAACATGTTTTCTGCGATATCCATCTCAAAAATTAAAATAACATTTTAATGGCAAGATTTTCTAATTACATAAGACCAATGACAAACAAATAAGACGCAAATGATAAAATTTTCGTTTTTACATTATTAGAAAGAAAATATGATCGATAACGCGCCAAGATCACAGTTATCGATTCGTGTTCTCTTATTGGGGCAGCGACTGTTATCATCGTCTCTCCTTTACGTAACAAACACGTTAACATGCATACATTGACGTCACTGTTTTCTCGCGTACAAAATAAAAGCAATGCTGAAATGTGACATTCGCCGAAGTTTTTGCCAAAGCTCTTTGCATAACATTGATCCCGCGTGAAAGGGGTAAAGATCGGGATCAGCAGTCAACACGTACCATTGTCTTGCCGGTCCAATCGAATTCGCCGTCATTGACGAAACCACGTCTCTCGTACAAATCGTGGAAGAGCTTCCTCAAGTACTCGTAATCCGGCGTTTCAAAGAAGTCCAGCCTGCGTACGTAGCGCAGATACGTGGCCATCTCCTCGGGATGACCGTCGCAGAGCACTTCGATTGGCGTCGCTCGTTTCGTGTCACCAATCTTCTGATAGCGTTCTTTCAACGTATCGGCCTTTAGTCCTTGCCATGGCAGGCTGCCACGCAGGAAGTACATGAACATGTGACCCAGCGCTTCCAGATCGTCTCTTCTGCTTTGCTCTATTCATCATAATTGTATCGTAAAAAATTATATATCTTTTGGCTATAAAAAATTTTTTTAAAGAGTAGACGCATTGTGACATTAATTTATGTTCAAACGACACCATGATATTTACTGAGAATATAACAGTTCCAGCACTCGCCGCACTTTCTCGCGAGCCACCTTGCATAGTGATGGTTTAGCGCGTGGCGATTTGTCATGCACCGCATACGCACATATACACACACGACGAAACAAAAGTAAACGTCCGTTACCTTTGCCAAGATGCGTGTTAATGCTCATATAACGCGCCGTGCCGGTGAGACTCTTGTGTTCCCGATACGGTATATGCTTGTTCGTCTCCAGGTCTATGTACTCTTTGGCTAGTCCAAAATCGATTATGTGAATGATCTTTTCCCGCTTGGTAGTGGATCGTCCTATCAGAAAATTTTCCGGCTTGATGTCGCGGTATATCAAATGCCGACTATGAACGTATTCTATCCTATGGAGCTGAAAAAAAGAACAATTATTTTATTTTCAAATTTATCATGCGATGCAATTTATCATTACAACAATTTATAATTTTATTTTTATTTCTTCTTTTGAACATTTTTATTTAATAATTCAACATCGTAAGAAACTCTCGAACATATTCCAAGTAAACAAAGGAAAATTTGAAGAGAAATGGCAGACGATTAAAGTTTGCGGGATTCGCTGAACCATTTGACGTGTTTGAGGTCGACTTTCGAAGTGCGAAGGTGTTTGACGGTCAGTTTTGCGGACCTAAAGTGTTATAGTAATGCGACTTACGAGTTGTGTGGCAATGTTGAGAACGGTCTTGAGGGTGAACCTCCTCCCGCAGAGGTCGAAAAGGTCTTCGAGGCTCGGTCCGAGAAGCTCCATCACCAGGGCGTTGTACTTCCCGCACGGGCCGAAGTAGTACACCTCCGGTATACCCTCTATATGTGTGTTATGAACTATACCAATCGACAAAAGTGGATCACACCCCAGATCACCCCCAATAAACACGATATTATACCAATGGACGAAACACGCAACGAAACACAAAACGAGTACAACTATATTTATAATTCTGCGACGGCGAAAGAGCTCGTTAACAAAAACGATATATATGCCTGAGAACGTTCGAAATTTCCAATTAATTCGTCCTTGAAAATGTGAATACACAGGATAAAGTTCATATATTTGCATTAATGTGGATCATGATATTTTAAATATTTTTGCAACCAGCTTTACACAACGCGTTAAAAACTCTGAATTTAATATAATTTTATATCTTAAAATTGAGATATGTAATAATAATTCTTTAAACAGAGTTTAAAACAAAATATTTTTTTTATAAATTAAAGAAAAAACAGATAATTGGAAATAACGTTAGACCGACGAGAAATATTATCGCGTTTTAAAATGCGCATTTCATTCATTAAAGTTGAAAATTATAATATTGCGATAAATAATGACCTCGACACATTCGATAAGCAAAGATCGGCTCGAAAAATTAACCAAAGAAACTGTTATTAAAAAATAATGCGCTAAAATGCGGAACATGAAAATGCAATACTTTATTTCTTTGAATATAATGCACGATATACATGTCTGATACAATCTCGATTCGTGACGTTAATTGTCAAACTTTATCTAAGTGTACAAAAATTACAAATGCGCGATTATTTCGTCTAAGATTTTGCTCAATTGTATAAAACTTGAAATAAATTATCAACATCTCATGTCAAATGTCATATCGCGTCAAATTGTGTAATATCGTAAAGTTATTTTTTTCGAATCAATTTTCAATCAAATTAAAGAGTTGATGGCACTAAAGTATCGAGTCAGTTTGATTGTTATCGATTTATCTTACGCGCGTCATAGAATTAATAATCTATATCACTTCTTTATAAATATCTTTAATAAATACGTATATTATATATACATTTGATTTATTTATTTATTTTAGCTTCTGCTTTCTCAATTTGACATTTTGAAACATTTTTTCTGATTTCGAATTTAGCTTTAATATATCGGATTCTCTCGTTCGATTTCTTTAATCTCATTACATATTCAAATAGTAATAATATAAAAATGACACTCACCATGTGTACCTAATAATTTGTAAAACCTATATTCTAAATGTAGCTGTGGTGCCTTTGACTTCATTGGTTCCTGTAGCAGCAAAACGAAGGGCCCGTTAGCGTAAAAATTCACAAAGTTTTTCACCAAGTATTGCAATTACATAAAATGCCTGTGGCTTTCACTCACCATTTTAATTGCTACGTGCTCATTATTGTACAGGTTCTTCCCTGGAAATAGAAAGAGAAAGATGGGTAAGTATGAGACTGTGAGCGTGAAAAAAATACATGGATATATATATATATATATATATATATATATATATATATATATATATATATACTGTTGAAAAATTTTGATACAATATCGCGAATTCTTGCGTGTCAAAATTCTGGGCACAACGCCCTTTCTGAAATAACTCTTTCAATCGCAATGGTTGTGTCATTGCACACGAGCCACGTGATGTTTCATGGATATTATACCTCGATGACAATATGATTGCGCGATAATTAAATGTCGTGCGATGGCCCGCGCTTGGTACTGATTGCAGCCAACGTGAGAAAATTAGATTGTCGAGATCGCTGCGGTACACGCGGTTACCATAGAATTTATGGTCGTCGGTCATTAAACGCTTGTACAAACTTATTGGGAACCATTTAATATAATCGCGTAATATAAAAACAATTAATCCGATAATATCCATTGCTTCGATATCGAATTGCAATAAAACATTGATCGGCGAGAGTATTACAAAAAATCTATACATATATATATAGATATTTGTGACTTGTATCCTAAAATATATCGATATATAATAATACAACAATCAAATACCATTCTCTTTGAAAGATATAGAAAGGTAATGTCAATATAAGTTCAATATTATAAGTTACATCTTATTACATTTTATATAAGAATATAAAAAATAATATTTTTGTGTCAAATTAATTATTAAACTATCAACAAAATTGTTTAAAAATCTCAAATCTATATAAAGTATTTTAAATATTAAACGAACAGTTACGATATAATATATCTTTCTGTCTTAAATCCAATAATAATAATAATAATAATAATAACAAAGAAATAAAGATATGGAAAATCTTGTACTTTCTATATTATAGAAAATTTTTCAATATTTATTGCAAATCATGCACAATATTTAATATTAAATTTAATTTTGTCAACACATACTGTAAATGTATGCACAAGCATATGTCTCATAATCACACGTGACTTATGGAGAGATAAAGGAACAACCGGTTTTGCTGGCCATTACAGAAGCCGCAAAAACCTAAGGCGCAAAATTCAATTTTGTTAGAGTTAAATTTTGTCTGCAAAGGCTTCATCGCGATATGTTGCGAATCTAATAAATGCAATGCGCGAGCACTAAGTAGTTTCCCATTTCACAAATAAAAATACAAATGTCAAAGAAATAACGTGTTATAGAAATGTGCTGTATGCAATATTATTCAAAAAATAGACTAACGAAATTGAAATGTAAAGATATATTAGTAAAGATAATAAATAGTGAGAATAAAAAAAAATAAAAAATTGTTAAATAAGAATGACGAAAAAGTTACACGACGAATCTTATTTATTTTATAATAATATAATTCATGGAAATCTTTTCTCCCTCTCTTTTTTCCAATCTTATACAATTTACCTAACGAGAATCGAGAGTTTCATTTCTTAAAATTAGCGCGCGTCATACATGTGAGCACACACTTGCATCTTTTTATAAATATAAGCGAACGTGTATAGCTTTTCCTTCGTAACCGCATCCAAATAACGCTATTAAACTGACGTGCGAGGATAATATCACGTGTCGTTGACGCTCCACTCGATGTTCGCGTAAGAAAAATGAAGCACTCGTCGAGGCCCCCTCGCGCTAGTCGCTCGACGAAAGCACATTCCTGCGGCCGCTTGTATGTGCACCTACCTGCGGAGACATAAAGGATGCGGGCCGGAACGCACGAACGAACGAATGAACGAACGAAACTCTTCGCCAGAAGCGAAGGTCAATGACTCTTGCGCGCGCCCGCGCTCGAGCGCGCGTTCCGCAATTAGCGGTTCGATATCTTTCGCGATAATTAGCGCGACGCCGCGGCTTCTTCGGTCCTCGTATCTCGCTCGTCCTGTCGTTTTGCGCATCGTCAGATTATTTCGGATAAAGACGGCCACGCCCTTGCGTGATATATAGGGCTGCCGCACCGTCGACCCCGCGCGATCGTGGCTTCCTCGACAGGAAGTAGCAGCGATGACATCGTCGAATATAGATACCGCGAGAATGTCAATAATGTCAACAATTGACCGCTGACAATCGCGCATCTTCCTCAATCTTTTCCCTAACATCTCATACATATTTTTATTATTTTTTAATATTGTATTAATAAATCTTTAAAAAAAATTGAACTGATGTGTCTCAATGACAATAGTAATAATATTATAGTATGATAATTACTATCGTTGCGACTTATCATATTAATTTCATATGCCATTCCCTAACGTCTCATATTTGTATTATATAATTGTATTAATATAATTCTTAGAAAAAATTATAATCGATATGACTTCTATGATACTATGCATTAATAATAATATGCATGATAATGATGTAAAATGATAATTAATATTATAGCGACTCATTATATTAATTTCATATGCCATTCCCTAATATCTCATATATTTTTTTCACTTTTAAATATTGTATTAATATAATTCTTAAAAAAAATTATAATCAATATATCTTTTATGATAATATGCATTAATAATAATATGCATATGATAATGATGTAAAATCATAATTAATATCGTTGCATCATATTAATTTCATATTTATCACAATAATCTTCTTTATCTTATACTAATTTTATCTCGATAAAAATGTCCAGTTTTTCCATTGTAAAAATTTTACTATAAATAAAAGTAACGGTAATTTCGTTAAACATAAATATCGTAAAAATATTGAATTTTTAATTAATTGCCAACTACGAATTTTCTTGAAAATTTCCATCGTCGAATGCTACGATATATTTCTATTTTAAATATTGAATCAATAATTTTATTACAAGTAATCACATACGGGGAAACACGTGCATGCCGCTAATGATAGTAATATCGGCAAAATATAAGTCATAATTGATGATATAAAATAATGATTGCATTTTTGCACGACACGTTTGAAGTGTTCGACTCAACGAGCGTTAAGGGAACGATCGATTGAACCTGCCTGTAAAGAGCCACCGAGAGGATCCTTTATCGAGCGGCCACTCATCGCGGATATAACCAGTCTTACCGGTGCGAACGGGTGCCACGAACGGATGCCACGAGAGCGCAGAGAGGCAAAAATTACCACGACACAGAAGCGTGGAAAACTATCGACCCTGGCTACGCGCGCGAATCCGTACGAAGGTATAAAGAGCAACGCGAAGACCCACCAGACCAAAAAAGAAAAGAAAAAAAGAGACCAAGATCAGACGGAATCGCCTGATATCCTGCCCGAGTATTAAAGAAAGTCAGGGTTTCTAAGATCCTAACGAGCTTATTTCGGCCTGCAAGATGAACGAGAAGATTTGAAAAACAAGCATCTTCCAAGCGCTTATTGAAAATATTTGTGAAAAATTTGTAATTTTTTTTTTAATCTTTAAAGTCCTTATACACATATACAGGATGCCTCGGGGTCCACCTGTTAATAACAGATTCTTGAGATCATTTAAAAAATACGATTTTTCTAGGTATCAATAATTTTCAAGTTATAAGCGATTCAAAAAGAAGAGCTTTTTGTAAACTAAATTTTATGAAGTTAAAAGATTACCAAATCTACACTCTTCAGTTAATTTCAAGTAAGAGAGAGAAAGAGAGTCTACTTTAATAAAAATAAATTTAATACTTAATTACAAAGATATATGATGGCAAAAATTCAAAACTTGCAACATACGATGACCTTCCTCGATATTCTCGTTAAAAAAAAAGTCGTCTCCAAATGATCTCAAGAATCCGCCATTAGCAGATGGTACGGTGACCCTGGAACATCCAGTATATATGTATATCCGATCTTCGATAATTTAAATCGTTTTTGTAGCGTTCTCTTATCCGCTCATTACATCTTTTATTTCTTGTTTGTTTTTTAGAAGACTTTTTCCTGAGCTAAGATAAACGCTCTCTACTAGCATCATTACTACGGCGTCTAATGGGAAATCCGACCCTGATCACCTATCCCTTTTTGCTCGCACTCTTTCATCCATCCTCGTCAATCGTCTTCCCGCTCTCGCTCAGCCAGCGATTAACGCACGAGTACACGGAGACAATGAGAAAGACAAAGAGAACGTTGAAAGGATTGAGTCGCGGACAGGCATAAGAGGGAGTGTGCGCCATGGTGCGCGAAATATACACACGCACGTGTATCCCCATGCATGGCACAGCTTGCACTGGCATATTCCTGTTACGATACACGCACGTGAGACACGTGTGTGCACGCGTGTGGGAGGATTTAACCCCTTCGCTACTCTGCATGTATCGGCTAAGCATCCGTAGTCTCGGGAGAAAGTGCATAACGCCTGGGATAATTCGTCTCATTATCAGAATTGCAAGATGGAAGAGCGAAGCGATGGAGTTTTTTTTTTTTTTTTTTTTTTTTTTTTTTTTTCAAATGGAAAGAATGCCTTATAATATATCGCCAAGTATTGTACATCTTCTTCTAGTTATGTATCTAATTTAGCTAATAATTGATACATTATCGCCGCATATTATAAAACAAATTATTAGCGAGTTGTTATTCGCGACAATTTATCGAGCAGTGATGGTCTGGTATAAAGATCTGTTTATAGACTATACTTGTAGCGAAGAATTTATTTCGACGAATCCGTGCCAAAGCTTCAAAGTTAATCATACACCTTGAGGCAAATCGGGAGATAGTTATAGCGCGAGATCAGATGACACACACTGGAAGTACTTACGCTTGAATCTATTTCATTTTGACGTCTGGCACGAATCCACGAAGATGAATTTTCGTTCGAATACTCGCGTCGAGCGTAATCATCGTAGTCTTACATTTAAAGCAAGATCGAATTAATTATAATAAGACAGATATTTCAGTGTATATTATCGAGAAATGATTTTGATTACCTGATCCGTCCCGTTCTATCAGTTTCGCGAAACTGTTTATTCTATTATTAACGACAATCCGGCTGACGACTTCTAGTTATGGTAATATCTACCGTCGCAAATT